CTGCGTCCAAATCTACCGACAGGAGACGTGACAAATGGCAAATTCATGGTAGATTTCAACATTTATGCTGAAGGTTTAACCTTAATGCCAATGGAATCGGAACAGACAAAGGTATCAACCCAAAGGATGTAGAAATCACGTCTCAAATTGATTCAGGCTGATGCGTCAATATATATGGGCTAAATTCCTAATAAGAGAGCGCTTGACAACACTTCTGTCCTATCTAAATATTTTCCACTTAGTAAAAGCTTATGAAACTTCAGCGTAAGCATTAATTCCGGAGCCTTCCCAGAAGAGTTCATTAGGTATGCAAAAATTGTATGCTGTCGCGTATTTATAAAAGAAGTCTTCGGCCCCTCAGAGACGACAAGGGATTTTCTTAACGGTGTTGAAGTACGTGCTTATTATTTTGCTTAAATGGCTCATCGTTTATTTAGCTTGTACATACCGTCACCCACTCATCAGAACCGAATATGTCCTCTATAAACTACCAGAATACTTTTCTTGCTTTTTCACATCCTCCTGTTCATCTGGAGAGCCAAACACATCACTTACAGTAGATGGCCTAAATCACGAAATTCCGAAATGCGTTTTCTTTTCCGAAAGATTAATTAAGTAGGGTTGTAAAACTAATCATCATACAGCATAAGTTTTTAATAGATCAGTTGCCTGAGGATGCCGACTTTCGAATGAACTTATTTTCGACTGCACGCAGAAACTACACTCTGTAAAAAACGACTACTTACGAAGCATGCATTTTTCTCATTGATTTCCGATTTCCTTAAAAATTCATTTATATTTCATGGAAAGCATAAATAAAAATATTCATTCATTTGCTCATTCGTTATAAAATTATGTCTTATCTCAATTTTATACTGGAAGGAAGGGTGTAATTCGGTTTGAAAAAGTTTATAATTGTGAGATTTTTAAAACCATGAAACGGCCGTTCATCAAACGTCGTGACTCTGAATTTACCAATGTGGGTTGTAAAGTTAACAATATGTCTGAAATCCACTGTTGAACTTTATGAAGACCATATGGTCTCCTCTTAGTAACGTAGAGAAACGTATGGCTTCCCGCACGCGGAAAATATACGGCTTGTAGTTTGGGAACCCTGAATGCGAGTGCAACGTCATGTCGGACTCAAAATTATTCGAGGATTGGAAATGTTTTTAAAACCGAATTATACCCTTCCTTCGAATATAAAATTGGGATAAGACGTAAATTTCTAACGAATGATCAAACGAATGAATATTTTTATTTATGCTTTCCATGAAATAAATTTTTAAGGAAATCGGAAATCAATGAGAAAAATGCATGCTTCATAAGTAGTCGTTTTTTTCAACGCAATATGCCATTTCTCATACTCTGTATTAACGTTACTTTGCCCCTTAGTAAGCATCACTACATACTCTCCCCTTACGGTTACTTCGGTCAGTAAAATTGTGCGCCCGAGGTTTCTGAAATTATGTTGAAGCTAGTTCACACTTCCAACATACAAAGCCCTCATTTGAACTTGTTGGTTTCCTGAAATAAACTTTTCTTTCGGTGTAAGCCCCGCCTTAAAGTTAGGAAGTTTGATCCATGTGATTGTTTGCTACCGAGTTAGCCTATGTCCTCCCTCACCCGAGTTTGCAGTCTCAAAAATTTCGCACCTTAACAGTTCTTTCTAGGTAGCTGTTCCTGCCCTTATGGAAGTTTTTTGAGCTACAGGTCTTCCGATCCCTTGCAGGGAAAACACATTTATGCGGCGAAAACATTCCAAAAACGTACACCGTGACGTTGATAGAGCAAATCCAACCTCAAGTTTTGTACTGTGCGAATTTCGAGAACCATGTCAAACTCAAGTAGGTAGGTTTGGTGTAGTTGGCGAAATTAAATCACATAAAGCACTTCATTTTGCTTCGGACAATAGATCGTACGGCGGCCAGCAATCGCAAGATAGAATGGAATGGCTCTCTCTGGCTTTCTCAACGTTTTCAGTCAGGCATATCAAACCTTTTGGGCGAATTAATTTTCAACTTCCAGTTCAATGAATCGTCGGGGTGATTAAACTGCAAGGCTTATAGGGTCTGGAGTTGGGATATGGCCCTCCTCCTTTATACGCCCTCATACGTAGCCTTTATTAACTTGGTTGTAATATAGGCGTTTCTCAAAAATGTGACTTTTGTCGAAAATTATTTATTTTTATCTCAGTAAATAATATTTCCTTAATCAAACTTTGCTTTATTTCTTTGACACATCGTTTATTTTCCGCTATCAGACTTTGGGAGCCGTAGTGTTTACCGATTCTGCGTTTATGTCGTTAACCTGTGTTGATTCATGACATTTCATGAGTTAGCACAGGTACTGTAAGTACACCAAAAAATAACTATCCCTGTACCCCTCGGCCTCCGTCCTTAAAAGTAGATTAGGTGGCTATCGCAAAATATTACGATGGCGTATGTATAGGCAGAGAAGTCTATCTAACCTCCCTTGCCGGCTTCTCTTATTTACTGTAAGTGCCTTACTATTCTGAAGAGAACTTTAGCAAAAAAGCGTTCGAATGTCGAAACGAAATGCATAATTTTTACGTCATTCGATGCCCTCTTTTTAGTCCGCCTATAAAAGACGCCAATATGGGACATCTTTCACCTTTCGGTAAAGAAACTACGGTCGGATCTTATTTCGTAGCCGTACCTGCAATAGACAAACCCCAGCCTTACCCCTAACCTTAACCCCTAGCCCCTAACCCCTGACTCCATCCTCAACCCCTAACCCTTATCCCTAATAGATACGGCTACGAAATAGGATCTTGCCGAAACCACATACCTGGAAATGCTGGTGCATGTCTCCTAAACTAAGTGTAGTGTCCATGCGCACACAAGCGCTGGACAGAATACCGCCCGAAAAAATCTAGCGCTAAGGTGGAACAAACTCGAAAACCAGACGCATTTCTTTAAAAAAACAACCCACCACCACGTTGTTCAGCCTCCCTCCCAGGCACTCTCTTAAGAGCTCGCTAGGTGTCAGTTCACACAGAACTTGCACCACCTTTAATGACCTTGGTAATTGATGGGATATTGGGAGTTCAGTTTTTCCTTCCACCCCTGATGTACGTAGCTCACACGGAAGCTTTGGACTCAGTAAAACCGAACTGTGGCGACAGTGCCCAGGTGATCTTCTCACGGGTCATTCACATGATTTGGTAAACCACAGCGCACATTCGGTAGCACGCGTATTATCATTGGTCAGCAAGGTTGCCAATCAGAAAGGCGGTAAGTACTAGGCGCCTGACGCAGAAATTTCGACGAATAGGCGCCGAGACAGGAACTTTTGTGTACACGTTCCACTCAATATATGAACTAAATGTCACGGAATACCTCTGTCCTGCGCATGCCTGATGATTTCGCTCGTTCTTTTCGCACAATTAACCAACTTCGGACGTCAGGAAAATTGTGTGACGTAGTTCTCACAGCCGATGACGTGCACGTCCCTGCTCACAAGTTAATTCTTGCAGCCCATTCACCCTACTTCAAGGCTATGTTCACCAGCGGACTCGCCGAGACAAGGGCAGACAATGTCCGACTGGAAGGCCTTAATGGTCAGGCGCTCTCCTCCGTTGTACATTTCATCTACACCAATGAGCTTCCCGATTGCACGGACCTCCTGCTGGGCCTCCTACCCGTAGCTGACTTCTTACGCCTGGGACGGTTAGTTAGCCTACTCTGCGCCCTTCTCGCACGTCGACTGGACGTGAAAAACTGTCTGCAAATAATGCGTGCTGCCAAGACCTGTAACTGTAATGACCTGTGGCACAACAGCAAACTGTTTGCACAGCGGACCTTTCCTGAGGTGGTTGACCGAAATACAGTCTTTTCTCAACTCTCTCTCCTGGACTTGGAAGATTTAATAAGAAGCGACTCAACTCTGGGCGGCGAGGAAACTATATTCCAGGCGATCTTGAAGTGGTCAGAAGAAAAAGAAGGTTTGAGTGATGCGGAAGTTGACACAGCCCTCGGCCATGTTCGTTACGCATGGATTTCTCCCGACTGCATAACAAATGCCTCAAAGCTATTGGCTGTCGCAAAGCATCAGGGACCTTTGCAGAGCTTTATTAAAAGGACTCTAGCCTTCCATTCTGGTCAGCGTGTATCTCCTACACCAGCATATAATTCGGGTTTCGAGAGACCACGCCAGAGTGGAGACGTATTGGTGGTTTTCGGAGGTAAGGACGAGACGGGAAGACTGTTGAAGACTACAGAACAATATTACTTCTGTGAAACTACAGGCAGTATCAACAGTGTCCCACCAGGGAGCTCCCAGTCTGCTCTTGACATCGCTCCCGAAGGATCACAGATTTCAGACTCACTTTCGGGCGTATCCTGTGGGAGATTTGAGGATGGGAGTCTGCCCGATTTGCCAACTGGTTGCTATGGCTGTCAGGTAACGTTTATGGATGGTCTCATCTACTTAGTGGGTGGCCATGATGGTCGGCACACACTCCGCACCACGCACATCTACGACACGCGAACTGAGGTCTGGGGTCCAGGCCCACCAATGAGCTCCGCACGATACCAGCATGGGATCGCGACCTTTGAGGGTCGGATCTATGCTATCGGTGGACACAGCGGCTCTGGGGTCCTGGCTACAGTAGAATGTCTGCGTGCGGGGGCTTCTGCGTGGAGCAGGGTGAAAAACATGCACAGCAAACGCTGGTACACTTCTGCGACCGTTTTCGAACGGAAGATATGTGTAATTGGCGGCTGTAATCAATCGGCCCTGAAGACTGTCGAAACATTTGATCCAAGAACTGGAGAGTGGAAAAACCTACCAGACATGAACTTTTCTCGTCTTGGTCCGCTTGTTGCTGCGTTAGACCACCGTCTTTTTGCTGTGGGTGGTCTTGAGTGTTGCACTGTGGAAATACTCGATTCGGGGGCATTGGAAAACGGTTGGACTCGGGTGGCTGACATGCACAGAGAACGCTTTGGTGGTAGTCTTTGTGTCCACACCAATTCATTGTTTGCGGTTGGAGGACTGCGAAGCGAGGCCACCGTAGAACGCTACGATCCCGAACGCGATCGGTGGATCCTCCTACCGGATCAGACCAAAACGTGTCGCTGGAGCTTCGGTGCCACCCTGATACCCCGAAAACTCCTAAGCCTGTGTTTTGTCAAGGGAAACATGCAGGAATAAAGCAGTCATCACCTAAATCTCACTAGTTTTAAATGGTCCTTGAAAGTGCGCGGGTTAACTGAAACTGCCGTTTCAGTACTCCTACGATATCTCGGATCCAAATTCTGATAAAGTCAAATTTCTTTAAATTGTTTATCTTAATGATCCGTTTGTATAGACAACGTAGTCAGCCCAAATACGGTGGACGCAGTCAAAGTATTATAATAGTTACCATAGCGGACATACCAAAAGTTTGTTTTTAAAAACGCATTCCTAACAGGCAAAACTGAAAAGACTCAGGCTTTCATACGGGAACAATATCAGGGCAGAACTTTTTTCCAGCGCGTCTTAAGCAAAGTCTCACCTTTTTATCTACTGCTTTTTGAGCAGGGGTGTTACATTTACAGAAGTCACACCAATGCTAGATAGTTACTATATTCTTTCCGATTTTGGGAATAAATCCGACGACTTAAACGATCAGACCACAAATTTCTTCACAAGAAGCAGGCCTTGGATCATGAATTTCAGTTTGATCCGACATCCTAAACGTCATAGATACGAAGACTCCTTGAAGGCTTGTTTCCAAAAGCGTATTCCCCAGAAATTCATATTGTACACGTAACAGGGGAGCACGGTCGGGCCTCTGACTCTAACCAACACAGTCGGCTCGCGATGATGATAGCACTAGGATAAATAAAGGAATGAGCTAAAGAATAGGAGTGCCAGCAGTCCGTTAAAACAAGCGTTTCAACACACTAAAACAATATGATGCGCTATAACAGAGCTAATGAGAGATGTAGTTATTGAAATAGAGTGGATATAACGAGCTTGGCAAGGGTCGCGACTTTTACATTGAGGCGATATCAGGAGGGATCTATGCAGCGTCCAAATAGCAAGAGCGAGAAAATACTAAAACGCATTGATGAACTGGCGAACTGGGTATGCTTTCCAGAATGAGACTTAGACTAAGGAAATGTTCGCATTGGTTGGAACTGGTCTTCAGAAGATGGTCGGCTTCAGCAAAAGCAGAGGGGGATTCCTGGAAAACTTCATTACTCACACTTTTAATTGTCTAGGCATAGTAACAAAGATCAGAGAACAAATATCCAAATCAACGGGACCGTGGGGGGTCATGATGGCTACTTTGGGTGTCTTTTGTGGCGACGGGGATTAGTGAAAGGCATGGACTGGGTCGGGGATGGAAAATATAGTTGTGCGACAGGGCTGGAAAACATATTTCGGTGCGAAAACAGTTACGTAAAAAATGCTCCTTATTGTTGAATTTTCCCGGATTGGCAGCATCCAAAAGTGATTATATCTTTTCAGTGTGAAAGAAAAAACGAACCAAGGAGGGGTGACGCAAGAAAACCACTGCTAGTTCTCCACTTATGTCACGTTAAAATAGTTCTTGTCGTGCAAGAACAAATAGTTTTGTCGCCGCGAAACAAAAGGGCATTAAACTAACCCGAGTTTGACTATATGCGATTCTCAATGTGATCGAGCAATCTGCTGCGCCCCTCAGACTTTACATTTCGTTGAACCCCGTTTTCCCAATTGCTTCTACTCTGTTCGGTCTGGAGCGGTCGAAAAATTTAAGGTATTTCCTCTTCCTGGTTTCCCGGCAATGAACTTCCGAAGGACTTCAGATGAAGGTGAGAAATGAGTTGTTTGAATTATCTACGCTAAGGGAATTATATTTGCTAACAATCATAGCAAATACATTTTCGATTTCTTCGCACCATTCGATTTACTCGTAGTAAGTACGAGCACTGCTTGAGTGATGAGATCGAATTTGTCGACTGCCTGCAGATTCGTTTTGCCGAAAGACCCAATAAATGCTCAAAACGTAGGCGGGACGTGTAAAAACTAGGTATCTATTGATTAAGTTAATCTGTCCTGTCAGCAAGTTTCAGGATTTAGTACTGACTTTGGCATGCGGTTTATTTTTCAAGATGCACGAATTAGAAGAGGAAGATGCGATCACTGGAACAAGAAATTTATTAGCCTGGCGTTTCGGATTCTCACTCGAATCCATTATCAGAGACATTCGCAGATAAAGGTGATGGTGGCACAAGGCGTACGAATGTCTCTGATGATGGAGTCGAGTGAGAATCCGAAACGCCAGGCTAATAAATTTCTTGTTCCAGTGATCGCATCTACGTCTTCTGAACTGCTACCTGAAACTCGCCTGTTCGCTTCTATGCGCGAATTACTCATCAGTGGTTTATTTGGTTTTCTAGTCTTTGAGGTAACGGCTGGATGTGATATCTAAACGAAACAAGGATAATCAAGTAAGCCCGCAAATTCCTGTGGCTGCGGAGCAGAGAGTGTAACTGGAAAACCACAATTATCACACCAAGTCCAATTAACAGGAGGAGATAGAAGACACCGAAACTAGGGGGTATGTCGAGTAACTAACCCTGAACTGCCGACTCAGGAAGCATCAGCGACTGCTGGTGAGGCCAAGGGGTATGTTGGCGATGTGATGTCAGCTGCTTTTTATGTGCGTCAGAGACAGAGAGAGAGAGAGAGAGATCGAGACTGCTCGTGTCTACTGGCGTGAGTTGCACTACACAAAGGTGGTGTGCCTAGTGATGTGTGTGTGTGGTCTGTGTGACGACTTCAGTGCCCAGGCCGACGCAGACCATGCTGTCTCGGAGGGAGAGCTGGGTCACTATTAAATTAGCAGCTGCACCAACAATGACCTTTTCTGCCTGCAGACCTGCGCGGAACGCAGTCTTCTCCTGACCAATAACTCCTTCGGCTATTCTATGCAGGAAAAGCAATGTGGATGTATCCTTACTCGCGTTGCTGGCAGCTGCTCGACTACGATCTTGTCCGGGGACGTGGTCAACATAAAGTGTTAGCAAAAAAGCCCATTTGCAGTGCCGACTGCTGGTCGTACCTCTGCCCTGTCACCTCCTACTTGAGATTCCAACTGCAGCCCAGTAGGCAACCGCAAGGTAAACGATCGCCAGATGGGTAAAGTGCTGTATTATTGGATTTGACAAAGCGCCGTTTAGATCCTAACAGTCGTCTGAATGTCCGCCTGAAAGGAATGTGGGCTTCAGAAGTCGACGCCACTGTAGAAACGAATTGGAACCGACTGCGAAATGTCATTCACTTCCCTGTTCTGGATATCATTGGCCGCGCACGCCGTCAACGCCAGAACTGATCTAGTGGCGACTAGGCAGAAGCCAGCAATTTTCTATTGGAGAAGAGGCTATACACAACCTACGTCAACCACAAAACTGCGGTCAATAAAACGACACTCTTCCGTGTTGGAACCTGATTCAGCAGCGACTGAGGAAGAAGCAGAATGCTTGGGGAAGTCATAAGGCTGGAGAAATACAAGAACAAACAGACCGCAATGAAGTGAAGGATTTCTTTGCATTCATCAAAGTGGTCCACAACCCCACACCGAAGAAATTGCCCCGCTACCCAGTTCTGTCGAAACAATAATCCAGGTGGCGAATTCGCGAATTCTGGAAAGCTGGTTCGAGTACATCACCGTTGATGCCACTGACAGTCCTCAGCCGAGGATTAATTTTCTCAAGTGAAAAATGAAGAGATGCGACTATCTGGACCCATATATTTCGAGCTGAAGTCGATCGAGTGGTTGCGGGTCAGATCGTCGTGGGTAAGCGGAAGTTGTTCTGAAGTAGGAACCTTTATCATGAAACTAAATGGCCTTGAAATATTTGACGGCTGAAGCAAATAACGTGATCGATGCGATGGTGCTGGTAGGCCACAGCTCCCTGAAATCAGACTACTCAATGAATTCTTACGGGTATGATGTTCTCGTACTCATCCGCAGTACAGTAGTACGGAATGTAGACTTTGTATTTTAACGCAAGGTCTCGGTGCAGAACAAAGAATAGACAAATGGAGAATAGTATCGACAAAAACATGGAGAAAGGAGTTTGCAGTTTATGCGATCCACCAGCCAGCCATACCCCAAATTCGTGCGAGAATGATTGGAGGCTGGAACCAAGTTTTTGTTGTTTCGCCTTATTTTCAGTGCCTCCTCAGAGAACCGCTGAACGTCCGCACGCTGTCCTGTAATCAGGCTGAATCAGTGGTTGGCACTCTCAAACTTGTCGAAAAATAAGTGAATATACGTATCAGCTTTCAGACTGAGCCTAAAAGGCCCCGTTCTAAAGGATTTGGTTCAGGTTAGCGCATTAATTTGTGGGGAGATTAAATAGCTGAAATTTCAGAGGTTGAGCATCCACTAGAAGGCATATGGTGGACTCTGGGGACCCAATGATTAGCCGATCTCCTCATAACCGTGTCGTGGAACGGCAGAATGTCAGTAAAATTTGTTGCTGACAACTAATAAAAAAAACAAAATCTTGCGAATTTCTGCTAAAAGTTGCTTCATGTTCTCGCTCAAATTCGTGTAAGTCTTCAAAGACTTAAAATGACGGTTCTGCCGTCGTTTCCGACGATGTCCACTGTGTGCCATACGACAAAATGGACGTGGAGACGATGACTTGTGCGTGAACTAGTTCATAGTGATAGTGGATTCGCTCCGCATTTACCGCACTCTCTCCGCCTGTCTGCCTGAGCTAGGTGTCAAGATAGAGTCAGGAAGACCGGAGCTGCAATCGGCCGTAGTGATTGACAAATCCAAAGGGCCCGTATACGCGTGCCACACACGCGCACGACGGACGCAGTCTTCGCACAAACAAAAAAAGTCAACTCAGATCTCAACAGAGTAGGTGTGCCAGCCCCGGGCACAATCTATCTGGTCTAGTTACAGCAGAAAACTTGAGGGGTCTCCGGCGTCTGAAGTCAAATGCTACCTCTTAATCCACCGTTCGCACTGATCTGTGTAATTGCAGAGACGATCGGCCAACGGAATCGATAAATGAGACAGACGACTGGTAGGGTTTGGCAAGCATGATTTTCCTAACTCTGATTCGTTCTGAGAATAGAACTTTAAGCGCAGGTTCCTAAGCATTTTCTTGAGCTTTGAACATAAAGTAATATTTGCACTCTTGTGTTGGTGTCACAAT